CTTGCCCTACCAATCCTCCTCAAGCACAATTCAGGGTGGGCGACTTCCCACTCCATAAACCTTCAAAGCCTCTCTGTTGCCCACTGGATTCAGAACAGTCTCCTTGTGGCCTCCAAGGGTCTCCAAGAACAGCCAGCCCCTGCTGGCCTTTGCAGGTTTCCCTCCCAGGTTCCGCATCTGTTGCTCACACGGGCCCAGATCTTTTCCAGTTCCTCTCAAATGTGCTGTGCTTCTGTGTCTCTTCCACCTTGAATGCCTTGAAAGGGCAAAACCTAAGACCCTTTAATTCCCTTGCTGTAAGCACCACCTACCCTCAAGCCCTAGCTTGGTTCTACAGTCCTGTGGGCCTCTCTACACAGAGTCTAGAGACTGGCTGCCTGCTTCTTTCATCACCAGTGAGTCCTACAGTGTGGAGCTTGAATTCTGTTCACTAGCACATGCCCTCTTCCTGCTTTGTTGGATGTCTGACACACTGTTAAGGAAGAGACGCCATTGGGTTGAATTCTAATGATTCAAGCTATAGCCTGAGGAATGCCAATTAGAGTATTAAAAAGCAACGTGGGCTGTTTAAGAGAACTGAGGAAAGCTAAGACATTTGTGGTGAACAGAGGAAAAGCGTGCATTAAATACAGACTCCCCCCGGGCGCGGTGGTACATGCCTTTAATCCCAGCACTCGGGAGGCAGAGGCAGGCCAGCCTGGTGTACATAGTAAGTTCCAGGACAGCTGGGGCTACAGGGAGACCCTGTCTCAAAAAGACAAAAAAAAAAAAAAAAAAAAAAATGCAGACTTCCATCTCATTCCCTTTGGTGGACAGAGTTAGAACAACACAGGTTTGGTTTAGAAGGATGCTAGGACACGTTTCTCTAAGGAAGCCATTATTGGAGCTAAAACAAGACAGGATATTGGACTGGGACCTTGGGCCCATCCTAAGTTAAAGTGGCCTCAACTCAACTCGGTTTATTTTAGGACAAGGAAAACTTAGGTCACACATAGGATCTGTGGCCTGTCCCATTTCTTCTCACTGGGGTAAAACTCATCAGAGATGGAAGTAGCTGGTCAGGGAAGCAGTGAAAGAAAGTACCAGGTAGGAAGGGTCCCTATGCCTTAGCTTTTTAATTCTGGAAGTGGTTGTGGTAGCAGGGCTGGCTGATGTCATGACTGTTAAAATCCTCATGTTTGACAACCACCAGCTTGCTGACTGAGCAGCCAGAGTGGGTTGAGGGCTGTGGTTACCTAGAAACAAGACTCTCTCCCCATCTCTAGTTATCTATGCCAGCTAGAAATGCCCCCACCTGCAAGTTTTGGGCAAATCCAATTTTAGGCAGAAGGCACATGGGAGGAGACAGAAACATGTTCAGACAACTGCTTCCTCCTCCTCAGCCCCTTAGCCCCCACTGTTGCTAAAACCAGTGCACCCTGGAGCAGAAGAATTAGCATTGAACTTGACAGTTACAGACACCAAAACTTGACATCTACGGGAGTTGGTGAAATGGTTCAGCTGATACAGGAGCTTGCTCCCAAGCCTGAGTTTGATTCCAGAACCTCCAGTGGAAGAAGAGAACTGACTCCTGCCAGTTATCCTCTGACCTCCATATACATATACCTCCACCTCAAATACATAAATGTTAAATTTTTAAATTAAGAAACTTGATATCCAAATATCTGAGTTCACGTGTTTCTACAGCTCTATGGTTGTATAATTACTAGAGTCAAATACCAGACCTCTGCAGAGCTCTAGATGCACCCAGCTGTATCTAGAATGTTCCATAGTCACTTTTGGTTTTTTTCTCAGCCCAGGCTAGTCTGGAACTCACTATGTAGCTGAGGATGGCCTTCAGCTTCTGATCCTCCTGCCTCCTCCTTCCATGAGCTTGGATTATAGGCCTACAACACCATGCCCAGCCAATCCCACAGGCACCTTAAGCCCAATTGAACCAAAGCTGTCCTTCATCTGGACTTTTGCAACTGTTTTTTTGGGAAGAACAACACCCAAAGACACCCCAGATGTCTCCCAATTTTCTCACTGGCCACCTCCAGCTTACTCTCTCTTTTTTTTTTAGTATTTTATTATTTTTATTTTATGTGTATGAGTGTATTGCCTGCATGTTTGTGAGTACACCTGTGTCATGCAATGCCACAGAAGTCAGAAGAAGGCTTCGGATTCCCCTGGAACTGGAGTTAAGGACAGTTCGTAGCCGCCATGTGGGTGCTGGGAATCGAACCCGGATCCTCAGCAAGAGCAGTCAGTGCTGCTCTTAACCGCTGAGCCATCTCTCCAGCCCCCACGCTTTTTTTTTTTTAAATTTTTTTGTCTGTTTTGAGAAAGGGTCTTCCTGTAGCCCCTGCTGGTCTGGAACTCACTATGCAGACCAGGATGGCCTCAAACTCACAGAGATCTGCCTGTCTCTGCCTCCCAAGTGCTGGGATTATGGCATGGACCACTACACCCAGCTTTATTTATTATTTTTATTTTATGTGTATGAGTGCATTGCCTGCATGTGTGTAAGTGCACCTGTGCCGTGCAGTGCCCAAGGAGGTCAGAAGAGGGCGTTAGATTTTCTGGAACTGGAGTTACGGATAGTTATTAGCTGCCATGTGGGTACTGGTATTTGAACCAGAGCCTTCTGCAAGAGCAGCCAGTGCTCCTAACCAGTGAGCCATCTCTCCTGCCCTTCGACTTACTTTCCTTTAAGACCTCCAAATTCTGCTGGGTTCTAGTAGTCATTGCCACCTTTCCCACTCCACTGCTGTGTTTGAGCCAAGCTATCCTTTCTAGCCTGGTGAGGCCTCAGCTGGGCTCCTCATAGCAATCCAACCTCACCAGAGCTGCTTGCAATTCTTCAGTTTCTGCTAGGCAGCTTAAGAACAAAACCCCAAACTCCTTAGCATAACATTAGGCCTACTGTGACCTCCTTCTGCCAGTCCCTCTCTGGCCACCAGCTTGACAGCATGCTCTGCTAGTCAGATGCCAAAAACATGTTCTGCATGTCCCCTATTTCCTCTGCCTTGAGTATTTCCTCCCATTTCCATGCTTAGGTTAATTCCTAACCATGCTTCAGATTTCAAGCAAGCCTTACCTTCTCCTGGAAGCCTTCCCTGACCTCCCCTGGTTAAGAGCAGTGATCCTCCCAGTACCAAAGGCTTCCCACAGCAGGAAGTTCAGAGTGCTCTACTGAAAACATTGGTGGCTGCTAGTTGACTTATGACTGGTATTTAGGAGGTGTTTAATAAGTACTGGTTCAAAGCCGGGCATGGTAGCACACGCCTTTAATCCCAGCACTCTGGAGGCAGAGGCAGGCGGATCTCTGTGAGTTCAAGCGGTGAATGATCCCATGGAAAGGCATTGAGAAGAATACTATGTGAGGAGGCAGAGCAGGGCTCTCAACTTTACTATCAATTTCCTGAGGGGTTCTGGGCATCCACTTGACCTCTGGAATGCCCAGTTCCCTATCCCTATGATGTGCTGGCTTTTCATCTGGAGGATATCAGGGTCTATTGCACTCTATGAACTTACACACACTTTGGACAGAAGCATGCAAGTGGAGGACACAGGAGTTTGAGTCCTGCAGGGCTACTACCTCAGAAACAAGACCCAGGAGGGTGAGAAGCAGCAGCTGTGTGAAGCAGATATAGGTGACAGTAGTGACAGCTGTCAGAGCCCACATCCTGCCAGCTGGTGATGCCAAAGGGGTGAGCCACCTGTTTATTTTATTCTTCTCATGTGTGGGGGGCTGGCTCTACCCACTCCTTATACTCCTTACATCACCTCCCTACCCCCAAAGCTGCTTCTCAGGCCCCGCATGGTGGCATAGCTGTAATTCTATAATCCCAGCACTCAGAAGGCTGAGGCAGCCACATAGTGAGTTCCAGACCAGCCAGGGCTACATAGCACAATCTGTCCCAAAATAAAATAGCCAGGCATGGTGGCTCATGCCTGTAATCACAGCACTTGAGAGGATGAGGCAAGAAAATTCTAGGCCATCTTTGGATTTATAGTGCATTCTGATTCAGTCTGGGCTACCATGTGAGATCCTGTCTCAAAAAGCAATATGATGGCTCAGTGATTAAGAGAGCTTGTTGCTCATCCAGAGGACCTGAGTTCAATTCCCAGTAACAACCCACCAGTAACTCCAGATCCTAGGAGATCTCATGCTTCTGGTCTCTGTGGGCACATGTACTCATGTACACAGGCACTCCCATATACACATAAAATTTAAAAATAAGATGGGCATGGTGTCACATAATCCCAGCACTCAGGAGGCATAGGCAGGTGGATCTCTATAAGATCAAAGCCAGCTTGGGGTTACAGAGAAACCCTGTCTCAAACAAAACCAAAATAAAAATCTTAAAAAAAAAAAAAAGCGGGTCTTCCCAAAACTGTATTCCTTCTTTTTTCTCCCTCTCCTCTCAGAAACAAATGCCCTTGAGGCTGGTCACAGGACATGATAGCTTACTCTTTTAATCCCAGCACTTGAGAAGCAGCGGCAGGCAGATCTCTATGAGCTTGAGATCAGCTTGGTGTATAGAGTGAGAATTTGTCTCAAAAAACAAACAACAACAACAACAACAACAAAAAAAAAAAACGCTTCTCAGTGCAGCCAGCAGCTCCCCTCCCCTTCCTGAGGTGAGATGCTAGGGTACATACAAAGACCAGGGCAGAAAAACAAGGTGTGTCCTTAAGATGTAAACCAGTGAGTCGGGAGCTCACCCACTGAACACCACCCCGGTCTGAATTTCCCTTGACTCTGCTTGGAGGAGACAGGTAAGGTGTGCCTGTGGCTGAACTAGGAGCTAGGATCAGCAGGTAATGTGTCGGAACTAGCAAAACCAAGTGCTGTGCCTCCTCTGAGTCAACAGCCCCAGCACAGCCTTTTTCTACATAGCCCTCCTTCACTCCCCCTACAGGTTTTCAGTTCCCACTAGTGAGAATCATCCAGACTGATAGGCTGACAGCGCCTGGTGGTAACAAAGAAGCAGGCTCAGGAAGTGGCCGCAAAGGACAGGACGATGGTTTTATATGTGGCAAAATATTTCTCCTAGAGGAGTACAGACAAGTAGACAGACAGATGGGCACAGGACACCAGACAGAGAGGGAAAGGTTGGGCAGTGGTGTCTTCTAACCAGTAAATGGAAGCTGCACCCCCCCCCAGTGGGGGTGGGACAACATTGGCACAGGAGGTGGCGAGACAGGCTTGAGGTGCCAGTGCCCATCCCTGAGGTGGGCAGCCAGGCAGGGCCCAGTCCTCGTTGGCACAATCGGCTCTCTCTGGCCCAGCTGTGATGCTGGGGAAGGGCAGGGCTGCTGGGCTATAGGGATGCTGAGGCTGAGGGTACCCCAGGGGAGAGGGGCTACCAAGGCCTCTCCTGGGAAAAGTGGACACTAGTGAAGGACAGGATCACAAGAGGCAATACAGAGAAGCAGCAGCAGCCAAGACCCCTAGGGGAGATCCAAGGTCCTCAGGCAGTCCCTGGATGGTGGTCACCTCTTGGGCACCAACCCACAGGGCCTCTCCCCTGGGGCCTTAGGATGAAGGTGAAGGAGCAGTTTTTTGGTTTAGAATGAGGTGGACCAGAGTGTTCACCATCTCCACATCCAGGTGAAAAGGAGATGGGGGGCTCAGATGCAGAGGGCCCCTCTTCTGATGGCAGCAGGCAGGGAGTGCTGTAGACAAAGCTCATTCCTGGGGGAGGTGATAGCTGAGGCATGGGGGTGAGAGCAGCGTTTTGAGTTGCTCAATCCTCAAGGTTCAGACCTGGGGCATTTACCATGACCCCACACTCGGAGGGCAGAGGATGCAAATCTGATGCCTGTCAGTTTCCACCCTGCCCTGCTCTCCAGGACAAGCTTCATATGGATTTCCAAGCTGTGGTTTTTCACCCACCAGAGAATGCTGCTAGGAAGTTGGGTTTGAGGGGTGAGGGTAGGCATGTTGGGGAACCTGGGCCTGGGGTTTGGGGAAGATTCAGTGGCTTCTCTTTCCAAGAAAAGCACCCAACCTTTCCCAAATACCCCAGTTTAGTAAAAGAAGCCCCACACCCACCCCATTTAGGACCTTCTCTTACATAGCTCCGAGTAGAAAGAGTTAAGGAAGTGCACCTTTTCTCTGGGAGGGAGAGAGCCCCCTAAGATGGGGTAAGGGAGCACTTCAGAAAATAAGTATACCCCATCCACCCTTAGCAGGTAGGGAGGGGGAAACCTACAGGGGATGAAGGGGCTCCCAGTAGCTGGGATAACCACCAAAGAAACCAATCCTTTAAGCAAAGGCATCTGAAAAGGAGGGGGACAGCGCCCCTGGAGACAAGACACATCTCCGGTGGTGAGCCTCTCTGCCTTCCCCTCCCCAGGCTCAGAGCCCTTCCTCTCCCTGTGCTGCCCTGCCTCTCAGCGGATGTAGACGCCTTGCCCCCAGCCCTCCAGCTCATTCTTGTTGCGCCCCAGAACTGGCCCTCCACCCTCCGTGCAGTAGCGGGCCTTATTCCGACCCCGATTTCGGTTGTCAGTCAGCTCCTCCTCATAGTCTTCCTCGTCCTCCCAGGAGCCCTGCCGGGCTGGTGGAGTGCCTCCCCCTGCAGGATCTCCTGGCCCTGGCCCCTCGGAGGGGTCAGTTTCCATGTCCACACACGAGTCTCCCGGCTCCGTGTAGGCAGAGTTTCGGCTGCCGGGGGTATCAGCATCAAACGTGTCTTGGCGGGACAGTGCCCGTAGGGTGCCTGCCCGGCCAGGTGGGTGGTTGCTGGGGTAAAGGCCCGGGGGCTGGCCCAGCTCCCCAGGGTACTCGTGCACGCTGGCGTGCTCCCCGGTGGCCCGGTCCAGTGGCTGGTCCCCGGAAGCAAGGTAGGGTCCCTGGTTAGCAGACAGACGGCACGCACCATGCAGTTCAGGCAGGGGTGAGAAAAACACAACAAAGCAAAGCAAGTTAGTGATACCGCCAAGACACCAGCCTGGCTGCAGGAGGACGCTGGCTCTAGGGGAAGGGCACCCAGCATCAGGGCAGTGGCTCTAGAGCTCAATCTGGTGACAGGCCTCAGGACATTTGCTCCTATAACAACAAGGGGTATGCCCAACTCCATCCGAGCATGAACTCTTCTGGTAACCATGGTAGGGAGCCCCTGAATAATTAGTCACCGCTTCCTCAATACATGTTATTGATGCTGTCTTGGGTTAATCATCATTAACAGCTCATTAGTACTGATACTCATTAGTGGTTGATTGGGTTAGTCAATGCCTCCAGTTTTCCACATACATGATGAGATTTCAGCTCAAACTCACAGACCCCAGCTTCCTCAGCCTGCACCAGACCTCAGTCACAGGCTTCTGGAACCCCATGCCTCTCTGCCCATTCTTTACACAAGTGAGTCTCCAAGGTTGCTGAGATTCCTCCCCTGCCCAATAGGATGCTGAAAGCAGCCAATGTGGGGGAGGCTGATGAGTCTCCCTTTCCCCACTGGAGACCATGAGGTGGCCCAATGTCCCAGTGGCTGACAGCTATTGCCACAGGAATTTCCATCTTAAGCTCCATGATTTCCCTCTCTGTGGCAGTTTCTGGGCTGTTGTGTGATGGGAATTAAGACTACAGCAGCAGTTTGCTGGAGCTGCTCTGTGGTGGAGTGAGACTGGCACAAAAGTGTTTCTGAGGTCCCTGCAGAGGTGAAGGGGAGACCATGCCCCCAGGTCCCTCTGAGCAGATCCAGGGCACCCTCCTATCTGTAGACTCAGCCTCCACCTAAGTTTCTGTGAACGGATCTGTTGCTGAAAACAAACTTCAGATGCAGCAGTCTAGAATGACTTCATGGTGTTCTGGCTGTAACCCAGACCATATACTTAATGGTGTGGGCTCAGAGAAGGGCTGTGGCTCTGTGGGAGGAGAGCCTTTCCTAGACTCTGTTTCCCTGGGAGACGGTGGAAGGCACAGCTCAGTACATAGATGCTGCAGCTTGCATCCCTCCAGGAGGGATGCTGGGGAGTGGCAAGTTGTCTGGATTTAAAGGCCCTGGGTCTAAAGTAGGTGTGGAGCTAAGACTGGTGGTGTTAGCTTGTAATTCCAGCATCCAGAAGGCTGAAGCAGGAGAATAACCTCCAGTTTAAAGCCAATCTGGAATACAGGGGATTCCAGGCAAGCCATTGTTAGAAAGAGATTGCCTCAAAAAAACAAGAGCCAAAACAAAAACAGTGTAGAGTCCAGTGAGCAAGCCATCCTCAGATTGTCTTCCTAGTTCCCATCATGCCTCAGGTTCAACAGGCAGCAATCCTAAATTCCAGGGAGGCAGCACCAGCTAGCCCCAGTCCCACCAAAAACCACAGACACCAGAGGCTGCCGCTCACCACGTTTTTTACAAAATATATCTCTTCCCTTCCTTCCCCATGTTCCCTGCACTCCAGGTTAGGAGGGAAGGCAGACCGGGACATCGGCTACATGGCGTGCTCCTGCTGCTGGGCCACCTCCGCGTCACCTCCCCGCGGTGAGGCCTCCAGCCCGCCCCAGAAGCTGAGGTTTCTCCTGAGCGAGGTGAGCACCTGTACCTGGAGGTTGGAGACGGGGGCAGGGCTGGCAGCCAAGGCTGCACTAGCCATCGTGCGGTTCAGCAGCGGATTGGGTGGCGTGCTGCTGGGCGGGTGTGTGGCCTTCCAATAGGCTTCCAGGTACTCGGCCAGGTGCTCGCAGGCATCTTCCAATTGGTTCTCGTCCAATATTATGTCAAACATTTCCTGTGGAGGTGGGGTTAGGGGCGGGGCCGGGATGAGCGGGGGCGTGACCAAAGGGATTGAAGGTGCGGCCTGGGTGCAGTGGGTGGAGCCAAGGGGGGTTGAAGGACAAGGTTAAAAGGCCTCTGGATGAGGAGGCAGGGAAGGAGGACTCTACAAAAGGATAGAACTGCAGAACTCAGCCCAATTCCCTCACATTCTACGGAAAGGCAACCAGGCCTTGGCTCCCCATTGAAAATGGGTGTTTAAGCCATTCCTGCTGACCAGTCAACCCCCTTTTCCCCAAGGACCAATCTATATCTAAACACCCAGCCCAGGTGTTCCTGGTTACCCTCTTTCCCATGCAGGCTGAAGGAAACCAGGAGAACCCCAAAGCACCCCTACCCCCTACTCCCCGCTGGATCTGAACACTCACAGGGGGACACTGTGCCAGCTTCTCTGAGGCTGCTATTTGGACATTGAGGTGCTTGGATTGAGACTTCCCTCGGGATTTGATGAGCCTCTGCAGTACCTGGTTGGGGGAAAAGAGGAGGAGAGGCTAGAGAGACACAGGCAATGAACCAAATCCAAAGGCAGATTCTGGTTAAAGCCAGTGGGAAGTCAATGTCAGAGCCACGGAATGTTCCATGACTCTGCCCCTGGGCACCTTTTTGGGAATGATCTCACCAGCCCTACGGCCACCGCACAAAGCTCGGGTTCTCCCTTGGGCCTCATTCCAGTCTCTCCTTCAGAGCTACATGAAAGACACACCTTGTCTATAGGTTTTATTCTCTGGTTTCACTCCCTCCTTCATGGGGGAGCTTGTTGTACCAGCACCCAATTCTGTGCTTTTTTCCCTCCATTTGTTGCTATTGTGTTTTCTTGTTTGTTCTGAGATGGGGTCTTGCTGTGTCACCCAGGCTGGCATCCAGCAGATCCTGGGCTCCAGCAATCCTCTTGCCTCCTGCCTAGTCTCCTGAGCAGCTGGGACCAAAGGCACATGTTAGCCTGCCTAGCTGTTCTATGCTTTTTTTTTTTTTTTTTTTGAGACAGGGTCTTCCTGAAGCCCCAGCTGGCCTGGAACTCACTATGTAGACCAGGCTGGCCTTGAACTCAGAGAGATCCGCCTGCCTCTGCCTCCTGAGTGCTGGGGTTAAAGGTGTGCACCACCACGCCCGGCTATGCTTTTTATGTGATCAATTTAATCCTCCCAATAGTTCCATTTGATAGCTGCTAATATTACTGCAACCCAACAACAATAGATATAATAAAATGTAAACTCTAAATCTAGTCATGGGAGAACATCAAATTCAAACTGAGAGACAGTCTACAATACAGTTGACCTATACTGCTCCAAAATGTCAATATCATTAAAATCTAAGAAAGGCTGAGGAACTGTTTCATATTAAGTAAAATTATATGCAGCGTGTGATCCTGAGTGGACTCCTGGATTACAGAAAATGCTGCTGTAAAGGGCATTATTGGGACAACTGAAGAAATCAAATATGAACTACATTTTAAAATAACATTTGGGAGGTATTTAAACCAGGGTCTGATGTAGCCCAAACTCCTCCTTCCTCAATCTCCCAAAATGTTCTTGGCCTTAAGAAATACATGCTGAAATAAATAGGATGAAGGCCTAAGATTTTTTTGTGTGTGCAGGGAATTTAATCCAGGATCTTAGACACACTAAATTTATACTCTATTAAAAAGTAAGCCAAGCCAGGCGTGGTAGTGCACGCCTGTAGTCCCAGCACTTGGGAGGCAGAGGCAGGTGGATCCCTGTGAGTTCAAGGCCAGCCTGGTCTACATAGTGCGTTCCAGGACAGCTGGGGCTACAGGGAGACCCTGCTTCAAAAAGACAAAAAAAAATAATAATAATCCAGAAGTCAGGTGTGGTGCACTGCCATGCTTTAGTCCCAACACTCTGGAGGCAGAGGCAGGTAGATTGTGAGATCAAGGCCAGCCTGGTCTACATAATGAGTTCCAGGCCAGCTGGGGGTACAAGGAGACCCTTTCTCAATAAATAATAAATAAATAAATAAATAAATAAATAATAAAAATGGGGACAGGGGCTGAAGAGATGGCTGAAGAGCACTTGCTGCTCCTTCAGAGGACCCAGGTTCAATTCCCAGCATACATATGGTGGTTAACACTCATCTTTAACTCCAGTTTCAGGGGATCCAATGCCCTCTCGTGGGCACCAGGCTCTCACATGGTACACTTATGAGTGATTCAAGCAATCACTTATACACATAAAATAAATCTAAATAAATCTTGAAAAAAAAGTTAAGCATGATGGCACAGGCCTGTAATCCCAACACCAGCACTCAGGAGACAAAAGTAGGTGGATCTGGGATTTTGAGGTTAGCCTGGGCTATATAGCAAGGTCTGAACTATATTACAAAAAGGAAAACAAAATAAAAAAACCAATTAATTAAAATAAAATAAAATTGGACTAGAGGCATAGCATAATGGGCTAGCACTTGTTTTACATTTGCAAGTCTCTGGGTTTGTTCCCCAGGACTGAAATCATTAAATAAAATTCAATGGCTGGGGGTATGGCTCAGTGGTAAATGCATGCCCAGCACTTGTGAGGCTGTGAGTCCAATCCCAGCATCCTACCAAAAATTAAATTTAAAAAGTATTATTCAAACATGGCGTATATGGCTGCAATCCCAGCACTTGAGAGGTGGAGTCAGGAGGATCAGAACTTTAAAAGCAGACTGGGAATATACCTGAGTTGGTAAAGTTCTTGCCTTCCAAGCCTGAGGACCTGTGTTCTATCCTCAGTGTGAAAAGTTGGACATAGTGGTGTGAGCTTATAATTCTAGTGCTGAGAAAGCAGATGGCTCCCTGAGGCCAGCCAACCTAGCCTACTTGTCCAGTTCCAGGCCAATGAGAGACCCTGTCTCAAAACCAGGTACCTGAGTAATGACACCAGAGGTTGTCCTCTGGCCTTCATGTACACCCACACATATGCATGCACCTACAGACATATATACAGGCAAAAAAATAGTGAGTTCAAGGTCAGGCTTGGATGCAGGAGACCCTGTCTCAAGCGAATGAATAAACAGAATAGGAGCTTGGCATAATAGTTCACACATATAAGCTGAGCCAGGAGGATTGCCATAGGTTACATAATAAAATTCAGGACAGTCTGCACTGCAGAGTGAAACCCTGCCTCAAAACACAAAAAGGAAAACCAGGTGTGGTGGCCTTTAATCCTAGCACTCAGGAAATGGCATCAAGAGGATCAGGAGTTCAAGGTCATCCTTAGCAGAATAGTAAATTAAGACTAGATGATGCCAGACTGGGTTATATGAGACCCTGTCTCAAAAACCAAATAAACAAGAGTCCAGGGTCAGCCATAATAAATACTAAATAAAGCCGGGCATGGTGGCACACACCTTTAATCCCAGCACTCGGGAGGCAGAGGCAGGCAGGATCTCTGTGAGTTCAAGGCCAGCCTGGTCTACATAGTGAGTTCCAGGACAGCTGGGGCTACAGGGAGACCCTGTCTCAAAAAGA